GTGCAGATAGATAACCTAACTTCACCTCTAATTTCGACAATATTTGGAAATCATTCCAAAATTTACAGATTCCATATTTTTGCATTTATGACCTTAATTACATCATAACCAACAACTGATCTAATATTTGATAAGGAATTGGAATAACTGCTTATTATTTGTTTCACATAAAGGAATTTAGATGTATGTTTAGTTACTGTATGTAACTGGAGTTAATACTTTAGTTAATAACTTTAAAATAGTGGTATCTTTCATTTCAAGTCGTCCTACTTTAATACTTTTATCTGTAAAGTCCAGGTTTGATATTCTTCTGTTAAAGTTTCATTTTCTTTTCCAGTCTGAGAAATAAAGAAAGACTCATCTCTTATTGTAAACATCTTTAATGAGTCAGTCAAAAATCAGAGTTTTACCTAAAACATTGGTAGTGATGTAAAGGAGTTCAAAGATCCAGTGCTCACTAAAGATTAAGGTTTTATTTGATCATAAAGTCTGAAAAACATCCTTCCAGGATCATCAATTAGATTTTCACTCTAGATGACAGAAGCAACATTTCCAGCTCATCATTTATGAAGATAAGCATCGAGCCATAGTTCCCCTGACGTTTTCAGCGACCTGAAAAATCACAGAACATTATAAATAAAGACGAACCGTTGATGATTATCCTGCTTATGACTGCAAGCAGCCATGATTATCGTGTCACTACCTGACCACATCGGCCATGCCTTGCCAAAGGGTTTTGGTCTCATAAGGAATCCCGTGTTTTTCACACAGCTGGCGGACCTGCGGGCCGACCTGCTGGTAGTTGTGGCGCGGCATTCTGGGAAACAGACTAGAGAAAGAGAAGCAGAATGAATACGGAGCAGATTTACAGCTAATCTGAACATAAGACATGAGCTCTTTGAAAGAGTCACATTTATTGAATGACTAGAAGAGTTAATCTCTCTGAATGGCAAAATGTTTCTTCCACAAAATAAAAAAACCTTTGATTCAATTCTATTCAGTTTATTTCTATAGCTCCAATTCACATCATGTCATCTCAGGTCACTTTTCAGTTCAACCAGATCATCCAGTCAGATTGATTCAAAGTTTTCTATCTAAGGAAAACCAGCTGATTGCATCGACTCATTGACTCTTCAGCCATCCCTCACACTAACCACGCTTGGAG